ATAAAAATAGGAATAAGAGGTGCGATCGCCTAGCAACACATGTCTTCTTGTTTAGCGCTAAAAATTGGATATATAGACAAAACATACACACACATACACAGAGTGGAGCTGAAAACTCTCTATTTCAATTTTGACTCACCATTACGAAAGCGTTTTCTCCGTTCTATCTCGAGGAACGACTAACTATTGAAATCTCAGCGCTTGATGAGCTTATGGTCTTGTCAATTCAAGCGCCGTTAGTCGGTTAATTATGCGGGCTAAGAAGCCCAAACTTGAATAGAAAATTAGTTCATCTCTACAGCTAGACCCAAGGGAGCGCCTTGACTTATTATTGTAAAAACACAAACAATTAATAACTTAACAAGGATCAATTTAAACACGTTTAACTTCAAAACAGTTAAATCTGGCGTTCCTCAAGGTTCACTATTGGGGCCGTTGCTGTTCAACATATTCATTAATGACTTGAATTTCTGTGTTCCTAATGTCCCTTTGCGGTTTTACGCTGATGACACGACTGCCTACCTGTCTGATGCATCTCCCACCATTTTAGAATTTTCAGACTCTTTCGTCGTGGTTTGAGTCTAACCATTTAATAGTGAACAGTACTAAGACTCAAGCATTATCTGTCGCACCCTGTGCCTATCATTATTCTTTATTCTCAATAATGCTAGAATAGAATTTCTCCGATCTATTAAGATTCTCGGAGTTACTCTAGACAAGGACCTATCTTATAAAGAACACATATCAGATCAACTAAAGAAAGCCTACGCGAAGCCCTCTGCACTGAGAAGAATAAAGCGTTTTCTTCCTCATGACCCAATGATAATGATCACTTTCATCTACACTGGACGAAAAAACGGATTTGCCTAAGTTTGCTAGTTGAGCAAATCTATTGTAAAATTAGGGTACTAAGGTTACTACTTATTTGTTCTTGGCGCAAATTTTGTTCAAAAGTGAAAGTTTACTTTTTTGCAAGGGTGGTGTAAATGTGGAGTAAATATCAAGTTTACACATATTTTGTTTCACTTTTGCTCCCAATAGTAAATTTGGAGTTTAAATTCAAATTTGCCGCCATTTTGTTCTCTGTGTAAAAATCGAACGTCAAAAATGAATGTTTGCTTGATATTTTCTGGCATAGCAAAGTTACTGTGTAAATGTATGGTTACTAAAGGCGTAAAGTTAAGCAAAATATGATCAACGAACTATCTTTACGACCACTTTAGCCAACTTTTGCACATTCACCAAACTTCACATTGTTATTTCACACAAGTTTTGATTTTCCATTGCCTCGTTTCAATCACAATCACATTCTTTTCAAAGTTTATCATATTATTTGCTGCAGCTGGTTATTTTGGTTAAGGCCACCCCCCCTTTTTTTTCGTTTAGCGTCGAATGCGTTTCCTGATATTGGGTTGGTGGCTCGGATTGAATAGGAGGCCCTGGTACCCCCGGATGACGTTAAACGTTAACATCTACAATTTGGATGAACAAAATGCACAATATGCGAAAGGTTTGAACCCAGGAGTCATTGATCGTCCGGGTGCGAGTGGTCCTGAATGCACTTTTCCGCATCGCACCTTTCTGTTCGAAACGAAGAGTTGAATCAAGATCATCCGCCATGTTTGTTGTTTCTCAGGCTTCCACGTGACTTTGGCACATGCGCGATTTGATTTACATTGTCACGTGCGGCTTTTGAACCAATAGAATAGTGTAAAATGAACTACCGTTGATTAGTTCAAATTCACGCGGACTTCATATAGTCCATGAGCCAAGACGCCTTAAAAACAATTTTCGTGGCACCCCCCGTAAGACATAGCGAATTTGGTATCAAATTAACTCTTATTGTATATATTTTAATAATCTACCTGTTACTTTCTATGTAACCTGTGCCTTAGTGAGAAAATCACTTGTTTCTGAGGGGGTGGGGGGACGGTTTTACATTTTGGCACGAATAAATTTTTGAGGCTTAAAACAACAAATACTTCAAAAACTGCTGATCCAATATGGAGAAAACTGACGAAAAGTTTATTTTAAGTAAAGTGCTGTACTCGTCTTTGTCTAAATCTCAATAGGGTGTTACCATGGTAACCGTTGCTAGGCAAATATTTCAAACAGGGATATTACATTAATATGTACATTATGAACAGGAATTTTCACAGACACTATTTTTTGAACACCAAAGCATTATTACCATCATTCTTTTTGTAAACTATTTACTTTTTATGAACTATAAGGCTTTAAGGCTCTATAATATTCCCGCAAGTAAACCAGTTCAATTGTCTCACAATTGTGTAATTCTTTTAATAGCAAAGAAAAAAAAAATAAAAACTCAAAATAGATTTGAGACTAGTGGACAGACCAAAATCTTTAAAGTGTTTTCTTCTATTTTTTTTTTTAATGAAAGAGAGGCCGGCACATTTTGATCATAATCCAGTGTCCGCTATTCCATGAAAGTTCCATTCCAGATTGTCTATCCCATGATGCAATTCAAACTTATTATCCATGAGCGGCCATCTTGGAAAATGGTGTGCAGACAAAATGGTAAGAGAATGGTGGTTTTATACAGATTTTCCTCTTAATTTCTATTCTTGGTTGTGCAAGATAAACTCAAGTAACGTCTGTAAGTTTCTGTATAATATATTTTATTTTTTAAAAGCTAAAATTCCCACTGAACATTGCTAGAATAACTGTAAGTAGTCTGTCAGATTTTGTTTTCACCACAACATCGATACTGAAGTTTTTGGCGTGGAAGCGGTCAAATCAAACGTAGAAGTTATGTTTTCAATAATTTTTTGCTTGAGTTAAGGAAATAAGGTTTTTTGCTTCTTTTAATTCTCTAGTGACATTTGAAGAGTTTCAGAAAACAGGCTAGTGTAATCAAGGATATGGCAGAAATTACGCCAGTAAGTTGTACTAGAAAGCGCTCAATGTCCAGCTCGATACAGAAACCTAACTGGAATAGATGCCTTTGTCATCTAAAAGAAAATGTTCAAGGTCAATTAACAGCATTTACTAGCAAAAGCTGGGAGAAGTTTGAAAGCTGCTCGACTCGGAGAAGGGATGAAATCTGGTTGATAATGAAGGACTACTGGAATGAGGGACCAAAAGGGGGATATCACCGGCAATGCTACCAAGAATACACAGACATAAACAAAGTGTCTAAGGAGGAACAAAGTCATTGCAATACCAGAGAGGATCGAGAT